TGGGGCTATCCCTTTCCTTTGCTATTATTCTCCCAAGTCCCAAAATAGTACTCCTCTAAATAGCAAATTGTATATTTTAATGTAAATTTCAAGTTCAAAAATAATCTTTCAGCATCAAAAACTAAAGTTTTATTATAAAGAACTGAAAGCAAAACAAAAATACTATCCACTTTTTACAGCACTCCTATAGGGCTGTGGTGATTATGTCAAACATGCAGATATTAAAAAACATTACTAACATGATGACGATGTATTTTCACCTCTAACCCTGTATTCTCAAAGAGCCTGATCCTAAGCCAAGCTCCCAATTTTACTTCATACAAATGATAAAAGAAAAGTTTAATTTAATTTCAATAAAATTGTATTTACATTTGGACTTTAAAAATCCAAAATCAACTTGAACGCTGGCAAAATTCATAATTTGTTGGTTTGGTCATTTAGCTATGGTCTCACCACAACAAATCAAAGCCTGTGCCACATCTTTACCATTTACTTAAGAATATTTGCATAGGAATAAAAATGTGAAGGCAGGAATCTGCCTTAACATCCTTTTAAAAAAATGAGTGTGAAATAATAATAACAGTTTGGAAAAGTTTGCTCCCACACTGGGGTAAAATTTTTATATAATAATAATTGGGGAATATACTTTACAAAAATATATACTGTTTTGGATTCCCTTCATAACTTTTACACTCAAAAATGCATCTAACAGAGGAACAAAATAAGCTTGACACAGTATACAAACCTGCAGAAAGCAATGCACTTACCTTGGACTTTGGGAGCAAATATACTAATTAAAGGAGATCAAGGGTCTTAATTTTAATTGCACTTCTATTGCTGATGGTAATATTAAAAATGTTCTACAACTGAAATGGTTTTCTTATCAACTTTTAAGTAGTTAGAAGAGCAGCCTGTTAGGGAGGGTACATCATTTTAAATGTAAACATTCAAGTTCCTATTGGTTTAAAAAGAAGAACCCTCTTTACCTTGTCCTTCAGTCTCAAATACCTTATAATACTACACTTACTTCACAGTGGGAAGGAATGGCTAATAAGTACATTTCTTTTCCAATCCAGTTCTCTACCTAGTCATTAAACACCAAACACTGAAACTGAACTGAGCCTTGTCAATCTTCCTACAGGAAATGCTCCCTGTGGCACCCCAATCCCTTCCACTGTGCTTACTCCAACTGCCAAAGCCCCTCCTATTAATAGTAAATCCCTCTCAGACTGACTCACTGCAACTCCAACTTAATGAAAAAGACACCAAGAAAATTTTTTAAATCTACAAATGGAATTTCCTATTTTCAAAAAAAAATTCAAAAGGAAAGTAGAAGCCGAGCACATTCAGGCTGTTACATTTAACGTCTATCTAGTTTGTAAGAATTTATTCTGTTTTCCCTGAAGTGCTTGTTTAAATATTTTTGAAAGCTAGTGTGCTAGGCATTATGTAATTTCCTACATACAAGACTAGGTTTCCGTGTAAATAACTTAGGTCAATATAAATAAGTCAGTACATCAAAATGTAAAAACTTGAAAATTTTTCTTCAAAATTCTTCCTCCTCAAGTACAGAAAATTTTAAGCAAATCCAAAAGTAGAGTAAGTTAACAATGAGCCCTTCTGAACTCATGTAGCTACAATAATCAACTCAAAGCCACTTCTCTTTCCATCTCTGTCCTCCTGCTCCCTTATCTTTAAACAGAATGAAGAGACAAGTACTCACAAAGTACAAGAATAGCCAAGGCAACAAAAGTATCAAGCTAGCAGGTTAAGAAGTCAAAAGTCTCAACAATGTTACTATAAAAATACTTTGCACAACTCCTATATATTAAAATTTAAGAATTCAGTTAAAAAACACTGAAATAACCATCTTTAAGAATTTTAAGTCCATAAGACCCAATGAGTACATTTTAAATTATATTTTTTAAAGGATAAATAGAAATATGAGGTGAAAGTGAACTTAAACATTTGTAATTAGCTGGAATTTATACACTTCGTGTCAAAATGGAGAAAAACAGACTATTTAACATGAAATTACAATCAACCACTTGAAAAACCGCTGAACACTTCTGCCTTAACTGGTCCTTCTGATCCCTAATTATAGATTGATATCAACGTAGAAAGAAAACCAGGCATTTTGACGTAAGTGGTTTAAAATGTACAAAATTAACCCCACAGTTCATTGAGAAACATATGAAAGCAAGACCAAACTACCTGAATTGTATGTTGTTAAACAGAAATGTATCCAATTTTCAGGGCCATCAAAAAAAAAAAAAAAAAAAAAAAAAAAAAAAAAAAAAAACGTAATAAGTTCACATATGCCCTTAAATGCAAAGCACTGGGCTCCAGACAGATTTAGGAGACCGCCTCCTGCTTTTGCTCCCAACCAATACGCAGAGAGAGAAGGTTGGCAGGAAAGTGCTGCGAGGACAGTAACAAACACCAGCAAGCTCCCGAGCAGGCCCTGCTAGAGCCAGGAATGACGCACTTCGGTAACCCGACTCTCTCTCCCCTCCACCCCCCCCCCCGCCCCCAGCAGCGGTGCTGACACCGCCAACAGCCCCGAGTAGGAAAAAAAGACAACAGAAAAAAGGCAAATCTTGGACCCAGCAGGTTACATTAAGAAACCTCGATTATTCCTCTTTCGACACTAACCACCACGACTAAACAGGAAAAGAAGCTTCGTGCTTAAGCAAGTCCCATCATGGTGGTTTAAGTCACTAAATTAAGCTGATAATGAGCCCAATCCACAGAGACATATATACAGGGTGTGGCTGCTGTGAAATTCGGCGTGGGAGAAAGGGGGTACGGAATTTACACTCCAGTGTGAAGGGAAGATGGGGCTTTACTAGGGTCGAGGAAGAGGCGGCCCGCGCATTTTAAGGAACCATTACAAACCAACACAAGTGTCTCCTTTCCTTAAACCTAACCCCACAGATCAAAAGTTTCTGATAGACATAGCACAGAAGCTGGAAATAAGCATTCAATCAAAAAAACATAACCCCCAATTTAAAAACTACATCCAGAAGAAAGAAGGAGGGTGAGGGAGGGGGTAGGCAACAACATAAAAAACATCCTAGGCCACGGAGGAGAAAGTCTCCCAGACCGGATGAAACTACTAATGCAATATTAAAAATTCAACTCGAGCACCAAAGCACGAAAGAAAAAAAAAAATCACACGATAACCCATTATCGTTTAGGATTAAAAATAAAATTACGTATAACACCGAGAAGCAGAAACTAAATGTCGAGAGTACAGCAGTTTATTACAAAAAAAAAAAAAAAAAAAAAAAAAAAAAAAAAAAAAAAAAAAAAAACTAAAGGCAAAACAAGACATTCTCGAGCGGCGGGAGGGAAAGGGGGGGGGGAGACGAAATCAACAATACGTTTACAATTCTAGGCCAGAAGAAAATGGGAACGGGGCTCAAAGTTTTGCGGAACTACTTGATGCTGTTTCCCACACCTTCTCTCTCCAATGGCCCAACTGACCCTTTTCCTCCTAAAATTGCAGTCCACAGATCTCCGGATCCGTGAGAGAAGAAAAGAGAAAGTCGCCCTCAAGCAAGAATAAAAGTGTGGAGGGAAAACAGAGGCTGCCTACCTGGGGCAAGGATCAGCTCAGTTCTTGCCTTGAGAAAGACAGTGCGGGTGGGGGTGGGAACGAAAAAGCAGCACTAAAACTAAAACAAAAGTGGCGCCAAAACCCCCCAACAAACAGCCATCCACTCCCGCCCTTCCCCCCCTCCGCCCATGCCAGGCCGGCAGGGCCCCCTTTGGGGCAAGGTCTACGCGCAGGGGAGCGACGCCGCCGGACCCCAACCTATTTTGAAAATTGGTGCCCTGAGAAAACTGACCGAAGTCGGGGCCTCAGAAAGGATGGAGAGATCGATGCCAACCGCTTTGCCCAAGCAGTTCCCCCACCACGCGCTGGAGATGTTGGGGCGGGGGAGAGAAGCCGAGGGGCCCGTCACATGAATGTTGTTCCCTCTCTAGGAAGGGAGGAAGAGAGGGAGGGAGGAAGGGAGGAGAGGGAGGGAGGAAGGGAGGGGAGGGGAGGGAGGGGAGGGGAAAGAAGGAAGGAGGGGAAGGGCGGAGGGAGGGGGGGGACAAGGGAGGGGTGTGAGCAGAGTAGATTTTCCCTCGCCTCCCTCGGTCCGAGGCCCAAATAGACACAAGCGAGCCTGCTCACCCTCCCCTCTCCCCCCCTCGTTCCCAGCACCACCATTTTGCTCGCTTCCTTACCCGCACCCCCCCCCAACACACACACACACACACACACACACACACAGCCGCGGCCTCTCCGGGTTCTCCTTTTCTTCCCCCCTACCCCACCTCCCAACTATGGATGGCACCCCCACCCCACCTCCAGTCTGGGGGAGGGGGGGGCTCGGCTCCCCCAGGCTGCTTAAGAGGCCCCGGGAAGAGAGGCAGCGACACAGAGCGCTATGCGGAGGCGCGGAGCCTCCATCTTGCGCCGCCGCGCGTTCTCCATTTTGGGCCACCCATGGGGAAGGGGGGGTGTCCTCCGCCGAGGCCCCGAGGGAGTCGGGCGAGGGAGATGAGAGCAAAACCTTCGGCGAGGGGAGTCGAAAGGAAGCGTCCTGCGCTCAAAAAAGCGGCTCCGGGAGGGGAGAGGGAGGCAGGAAGAAGAGGGGAGGGAGGGTCCTGGAAGTTGCTTGGAAGTGTTGGGGGGAGCGACTCGGGGGCGGAGAGGAGAGTCCGGGGAGACGCGGGCGGGGGGCGAGGCGAGCCCTCCTCTCGCCCCCACCTCCGCCCCCGCCCGGACGCCGCCGCTCACTCGATGGTTGTGCCCGGCGCCCGGCTGCAGGCAGCCAAGCGGGCCGCGGGCTGGCCAGCGAGCGGCAGGCCTCTCTCCTCCGTCCCCGCCGCACGCTCCCGAAGCCCTGATCACCAGCCCACACACCTCACGGGGGGCCGCCCGCCCTCCGGGGGCCCCTCCAAACTTCGAGAAGCTTCGCCTCCGCCATTTTAGAACTTACCTGCCCCCCTCCGCGTCTACGGAGGCAGCGAGGAGACTGCTGGCCTCCCGGCTCCTTCCTTCTGGTTCAGGCCGGGGGCCTTCTTCACCCTGGGCTGCTACAAGATTGTTTTTTTTCCCCTTCCTCTTCTTGACACCCTTGTGTTCTACTCAGGAAGAGAAGCTCCCCGCGGTTCTAGAGCCGGGGATCGGGGAGGAGGTTGAAAGTGGCCATCGGATCCGGCGGGGTTTTGTTTTTTGTTTTTCTTTCTTTCTTTTTCTTTCTTTTTTTTCTTTCTTTCTTTTTTTTGTGGCGCTTCGGGATTGTTTGGGGTGTTCGCTCTTCGGCGACTTGGAGGCGAATGGAACGCGCAGGCGCCATCTGTCGGCCACGAACCCGCGGCCAGCTCCTGTTGGGAAGTGGCGGCATCTAGCGGCGGCGAGCCGCCATCGCGGCGCGCGCCTCCCACCCGGCGTCCTGGGCCTTCTGTAAACTAGGCACCCGCTGGGGCGCGCTGCGGAGGGGGGTAAACAAGGTGGCGTGCCCACGCCTCACTTACTCAGTCGTTGGGACGCGCTTCCGCCCAGCGCGGACTGCTAGGGGCTGAGGTAGGATCCCTCCGCCCCCCGAAACCCCAGCCGTGCCAATTCCCAGGCTTGGCGACCCGATCGCCCCACTCCTGAGCAGCGCGACAATGACAGCCAGTCCTGCAGGCCAGCAGCACCCTTTGAGGCTCTACCAACACACCCACCCCAGCAAAGGGCTTCTGGGTCCTTGCTCCCGGACCGCTGCTTTCCTCTGGTCCTTTTCAACATCTCCACCCCACCCCCAACACACACTTCCCACCAAAACAACCCAACTCGCCCAACTCTACCACTTGATCCCCAACGTGATTCCGTAGCTTGCATTTTTATTTTGTTTGCTTTTTGTTTTTCTTTGAGTATGGGGTAAAGGGCGCTGATTCTCTTTACCATGAAGACTAGGTGGAAATTATATATAATTATAGACATAAAAAATTTTTCAACTGACTATTCCTTTTCCGAGAAAATGTGGTCTCTAAACTCAAATTCTAGGAGACTTAGGGAACTGGGCTACTAGGCTGGTTGGCACGTCAACCAGTTTATTGGCAACTTTGGTCAGAAGAGGAGATGGGGCCATACAAAGTAGTGTGAAATCCACATGCAAGGACAGTGTTGTCACAGGACACTCACTGCTGGCCTTATGTGGAGGCGGCCTTGCCACATTGTTAACAATTAAAGTTCCATATCCTCCCTCTCAGCCCTCCCACAAATATTTTGAAGTGCAAAGAAACTTTTTGCACTCTTTCCAACTTCCTTGACTCTTTATCACCAGTGAGTGCTCATTATGGGGATTTTTTATTTCTTTTTGTCACTTCCAGTCCACCCTAAAGTACCTTTGACTGCACTCTCTGCGGGGGTGGGGAAACTCAGGAATGGCCTGTCCCTGCCAGGATCCTCTTCTCCTTGGACAGGAAGGAAACTATTAATTACAGTTGTCTCCATTGCTGTCACAGAAGTTCCTAGCCACCTAAAATACCGTCAAATTAACATTTATTTGTTACAGTTTTTACATGTTGATTAAAATACCTTCCTCAGTATTCAATTGTTTTAAACATTTAATAATAAGACAAATGAGAAATATTATGAGCTGAGTAAATGGTTGACCACCACACCTAATCATAGATCTTAGGGCATTCCTAATGCAATATAATGATTAGTTTCGGTCCTTAAATTATATTCCTTCCACGTCTGCATCCTAGGTCTTCTATCCACTGAGAATATTTGCTCACTTTCCTGCAACTTAAAAAAGAGTTATGGTATATTTAATCAAGTGAACAATAAAAGTTAAAAAGAAACATCTAAATATCAATAACAGGAAATAAAGTCTTAAACACTTTTACTTAATGGTAAATCCCTGGGAAGTGGAATACCACTCAAAAGAAATTTCCATTTCTTTTCTAGGCCATCTTTGGAAGAATTTTATGCAGCTTTTCATAAAATTAAATTTCAGAATGGTGCCCCTAGAGCATTATTAGGCCACAGTGGAGAATTTACAGTTAAAGTTTGACCAGGAGAAATAGAAAAGTTGGAGTGTGTGCCAAATAATTTTACAGTAATTAATAGTTCAATTGTGTCAATTTGTGTTCCTTCTAAATTATTTACTCTTTTAGTATTAACTGGGAAAAAAAGACGTTCTGCCCTCAACAGCACATAGCACAGGATATGCTTTCTCATAACTTTTCCAAATTTAGGTTCTAAGTTGTCTGTGGAGCAATTGAGGTATTTGCTTTCATTTTAAGAAAATTACTACTGAAAATTAGTAACTGTAGCATAACATCAGAAATTAATTTTATAGCAAATGTATACTAATATTTAGCAGCATTCACCATTGCCTCCTCTTTTGCTACAGTTCTTTCAAAAAAATTATCAAGCCCCATTATTGCAGCTCTCAATGTATTCCTTCAACTATCCAAAGAAGTGAGGATTATTTTATATAGTACTAAAAAGCCTGCAGAGTTCACCCTTCATTTTGAAGCCAAAACAAAAATGTTATTAAACAACTGGGTGAGGTGGTCACACCTGAGATCCCTGCACTCAGGGAGGCAGAGGCAGGCAGATCACTGTTGAGTTAAAGGCCACCATGGTCTACAAAGAAAGTCTAGGATAGGCAAGTCTACACAGAGAAACCATGTCTCAAAAAAGCAAAACAAACAAAACACTATCTTTTCTTGGTGGAAGTGGTTCTTTTGTTTGTGGGGTTTTTGTTGTTGTTTGGATTTCTTTTTTATTTTTATTTTTGAGACGGTGATTCTCTGTGTAGCCCTGGCTGTTTTGGAACTCTCTCTGTAGACCAGGCTGGCCTTGAGCTCAGAGATCAGCCTGCTTCTGCTTCCCTGAGTGTTGGGATTAAAGGCATGAGCCACCAATTGTTTGTCTTGATTGTGTTAATTACTCAAACTTAAATATACAATGAAATTTCAGGGAACTACCCATACTTCATAGAAAAATTGGTGAAATTCTAATATGTACATGAGCTGGCAAATTGTAGCAAATTCCCTGCATTTGACAGGGCACTGTTGTTAGGGTTACTATTGTCATTAAACAAAGTTGTATGAAGGGTACTTGAAATTCTCTGTATTATATTTGCAGGGGTTTGTGAGCACTAAACTATTTCAAAAGTTTTAAATTTATTAAAATTTTTCAGCCAGATACAATTACTCAGGAGCCTGACATAAGAGGATTGCTTGAGCCCAGGACTTCCAGCAGATATATTCAAGACTTATTTTTTTTTCTTAAATTGTACTGATAACAAAAGAAAAAAAAAAAAACAAAACTCTTGTTAGTGGAAATATAAGTCCATATCAAAGAAATACATCAAATTTCTAGTTTACAGTCACTTTTGTGCACTTAGATAGATGACTAATTTCCAAGATCCCTATCATTTTCCTTGTATGACTAAGAGCCTAATGCTGCAATACTTAGAGTAGACCTTTCACCTTAGGCATTAACAGGAAATAGCCATTCCTACAGCTAAAGTAAAAAAAAAAAATTACAAACACCTTTAAAGACATCTTAAACACCATATTACTGGATTTTCTGATTCTTTTTACTTTGAATAACATGCAATCATCTCAATGAGTTAATGTAACTGGAGGTGTCTCTACATACTAATTATTTTGAGACAGGAACTTTCTTCTCTATGTAGCCCTGGCTGTCCTGGAACTTCCTAAGTATACCATGCTGGCCTCAAACCCTGAGATCTGTTTGCCTCTGCTTCCCAGTGTTAGAATTAGACACAAGTAACACCATGCCTGGCTTTTTCTTTTCTTTTCTTTTTCTTTTTTGTGGAGTTGGGGGAGCAGGAGTCAGTTTTCTCCTAGCATGTGGGGGCCTAAGGCTTAAACTCAAGTCAGCCTTGACAGCAGAGTTCTTTTACCCACAAAACTATCTCACCAACCCTAAGAACTGATTATCTCTTATATCCAATACCTGCATTGTAGTAATAGTCCCATGTTCAGTTTCTTTTGCAACAAATTCAATACTGATTAGATTATTGCCTTACTTTTATGCTCATTAAGTTGTTCTCCTATTTACTCACTCTAACTCATTCAACTGTGGTTTTTTTTTTTGAGACAAGGCCTCAATCTGTATCCCTGGCTGGCCTGAAACTCACTATATAAACAGAATAAGTTCTCATGTTAACAGAGATCTACCTGCCTCTACCTTCCATGTTCTGAAATTAAAAGCATGAACCAGCATGGCTGGCTCAATTACATAATTTCTTATTGGCCCACATTGCTTACATTCCTGCTTCGGTAACACCTAGGCGTATCTGGAATCACTGGAGGAACAGGTGTGGTGGCAAGCACCTGTAATCCAAGCACTGGAAAAGTGCAAGCAGGCAGATCAAGAGCTCAAGGTCTTCCTCTACAATTTAGCAAGTTCATGGCCAGCATGGGCTATGTGAGACCCTGCCTCAAAAAATGAAACTCCTAGGGATCTTTGTTAAATGCCAATTTTGTTTTGAGAAGTCTGGGGTTGATGAGAAACTGGAGATTCTACATATCCAGCAAACTAGGACATGCCTATGCTGGTGGTCTCAAGTCCTTTCTTTGAGAAATGAGGACCTGAACAAAGTATAAAACAGAACAAAGTATAAAATCTTTAGGGTAGAGCCAGGCATGGTGGCACACACCTTTAATCCCAGTACTCAGGAGGCGGAGAAAGGTAGATTGCTGTGAGTTCAGGACAGCCAAAGCTACACAGAGAAACCCTGTCTCAAAACACCACAAAAAAGAAAAATAGAAAAAAAACCTTTAGAGTATTTCTTAGTACCTTCCACACTCATCCAACTTTTATCACTCCTCGTGGTGAACGCTGATGGAGTAATTTGTTCAGTGTTCAATTCCTTTTACTTAGCACAGAAAATAAGTACTCAAAAAGTAGTTTTGAAATGCTACTTAAGATTGAAGGATGTTAGGAAAGAAAAACCTTTACACACTGCTTGGTGGGAAGAAAAACTGGTGCAGCAACTATGGAAATCAACATGGAGGTTCCTGACAAAACTAAAAAGAGAACTGCCATCTGATCCAGCCATAGTACTCCTGTGCATTTTGCATAGCGTAATCATCTTCAGTTCCATCCATTCTTCAAGGTATTAAGTCAATAAACTAAAGACATACTGCAAATCCGTGTTTATTGCTTCGAAATATTCACCATAGCTAAAAAATGGAACCAGTCTAGATGTCAATCAGTAGATAAGTGGATGAGGAAAATGTGATACATATGATGGTGTTTCAACTCAACCATATGTAAGTGTAAATTATGTAATTTGTAAGAAAATGGGTGGAACTTGAAATGGTTATGTTAAGCAATATAAGTCAGATCAGAA